TCAGAGCCGATTGTCAAAGATCTAATGTCAAAGCCCTGTGGCAGGTGCAACAAAACCATACCTATCCTTAATAAAGTAGGAGTCCCAGATCAGGTCTCTAATGGACCCATAAAGACCTCTGATCAGAAGCCTTTTCTGATTCGGGCTTAGACCTTGTTTATTGTGAGAAGCAGTGTTCTCTTTGTTCATAGCTTAAAACTATCCACTTTATTTTTTTAATCCTGGAATTTTTCAGTGAAATTTTTTAAAAAAAAAAAAAAAAAATCAGCGTTATTGACTGACCAGAGACGATGCTGCTGCAACCAGACCAGAGTGGTTTGACAAGTGAGCCTCCTTTTCCCCTTTGCATTTGATTGTGGACAATACTGCCAAACTAGGAATTAAACAATAGCTTCTTTTAGCCTTTACACAGCTGCATCAGTTACCATGCCAACCCTGTTAATGGTACTTTCCCATTACACTATGAAATATCCAGTGTAACATGCGTTCTGGATCCACCATAATTACACCCACAGAATAAAACATTTCGTCTTTGTGCTATTTGTAAACAAACAAATGAGAATGATGAACAGCTTCTTGTGGAAAATGGCTATAGATGATACGCTGCTCATTTTGGCAACCTCAAAAGAAAGTTTACCTGATAACTTTAAATATTTTGAGGCTTCTTGTGGTGACTATGGCATGGTTATAGATGAGAGCCAACCAATGATGATTAGAAATGCATCAAGTGGCAGAATTAAAAATCACAACCAACCGGTTTGATGTGCACTGGAGCACAGAAGTTGGTTTTGTTCATCTGCAACAGGTTCATGCTGACTGTGCAAGACTGAATGAAGCTAACCATGGTAGGTCTGATGTCTTCAACTGCATTGGCTCAAGTTAGACGCTGCAGATATCTAATGACTGTATAAGGAGAGTGGGAAAGCTTTCTTATAAATGTAAGCTGTTGTGGGCAACATATGGTGGTAAAGATCAGGCATGAATTTACTCAGGTTTTCTGGCATTAACACATAATTGGTCTTTCTTTGCATTTATACACAAAAACATTAAGGCAAATCAACATTTAATGCATTTGTACATTTTTGTATTTATACACAAAAACATTAATGCAAATCAACATTTAATGCATTTGTACAATGATGTAAGTGTTTATTAATGTATCCGTCAACAGCTTTAACTCCTCCTGTGGACAGTCATTAGTAAAGCCTGGGGTATAAATGTATAATTCATGGCAAAAAAAGTGAAAGACTTGTGTAGTCATATACAAGATGTCTTCACAGAAGGAGTTTGCTGAGGAATAGTGTATGTTTAAACAGTTAACATACCATTTATTGAATGCTTTTACAGCAGTTATAAATGGGAGGAGGTGGAATAAAGTTTCTAATTCTAACTTCAATAATTATAATTAAGAACTGAATTTAAAAAAAGTGGACCTCACACCCCCACAAAAAACAACTTTCACCGTTCACTTCATGTATTTATTGCACTGTTGTCATGTTTACTTCAATAACTAATCATTTAAGAGTAAATATGAGTATAAGCACAACATAAAAACAGGGTTCCCTGAAACCGCATTCTGTTTCTTAATTGTGCAGCCTGTTTGAAGCTGCATGGCTACAGATGGTGAGAGCGTCAAGGTTCAAGATGAAACACACATGGTGTAAAAATGTTCATTTAAATGCAAGGAATTGGTGGATGTAGTACTTTCACTGTTATACTGCTTTGAAAACGGCAAATTTGGATAAAGTATCATCTATACTAGCAAAACAGATTTTAAGGATAGATGGCGCTCATTGGGTAAGAATATTTTAAATATTAGTCTAATAAATGATGATGTGACCATCAACATCTAAGCCATTGAATTTTCTGGCAGTGGACAATGTTTGCACGTTTTGATCATGTAGTTCTTATATGGTCAGGTATAATTAGATCATAGGTGTAACATACAGTATGTGGATTCTGACATTATTAATGCTTTCTGCTTAATTTCTAACCATCTAAAGAAATATTCATATAACTTTGGACATACAGTTTCACAGTTCCCTTGGTCTGTGTCTCATATCAGTGCACACTCCAATAAATTAAGACAAACTAATACTGTACATCATTATATTAGCTACTGTTGAACACATGTCAAAAGGAGCTCCAGGTGTTCATAAAGATAGGCAAACGCCCCAGCGCATGACGAACAGTGAGCATAATGACTGAAAATTACTCTTGATTTGTGACTCCATTTTTTAAAGCAGCATAAAAGCTGCAATTTCCCTTTGGGATTAATATAGAACTTCATCTATGTATCTGTATCTAAAAGCATTTATAGCTTGGGCTATTTCTTCTTAGGTGGTTTAAATTATTGTTTCAGGCTCAAATATGTAAAAACTACATTCAGTTCAAAGTCCAAATCTATTAATTTATTCTCAAAGATGAACAAACATCACTGGCTTCCTGGATTTCTAATTAATTTAAACTGTACACATCCAACTTTTCATTAGTGAATAAACAAGGGGCTCAAACGGCACAAAGGAGATGAGTGATAGCAATTTACACCGTTAACCACCGTGGTCTTTTGTAGATGCCCACATTAATGCTGACACACAGACCTCCAGAAACAGGAAGAACATATGAAGACACCATCTGCTCTGAGGACTTGCTGAGGGAGCAACTCACTCACTTTAAATGGCAAGAGTTGTACAAAAAAAAATAAGTTGGCTCAAATAGGCTTCCTTTTTTCCCCACTGACAACCATTTGTGTTGTGGTGTGAAGATGTGGAAAGCTTTGCTGCAGTAGCCACACACTGCATGTAGAAGTATGGGATGCTGTTTCATGACAGTAAGGATAGATTTGCTATCTGCCTTTTTTTTTGTTTACTTAATGCCATCACTCTTACATCAGTAAGTATTTTACTTAAGTTGTATATTAATGTATATGGAATGGATCAGAAATGAATGATAGAAATGAGGTTTATTGAGGGTTCAGGTTCTATTTTGTCCAAGAATGAAATTTAACTAATGTTATGGTACTGCTCTGAGTAACAGATAAACAAATAATTCATTTTTTGATGTAACATGGGCTGACTAACACCCATTCAGTCAGTAGTGAGCACTGAATGCAGCCTGGTAGTGGTAGCAATGATACAGAAACAGCAGAAGACCAAGACTGCCATCCCATGGTCGAAGACTGAATACGTCTCCCCTCTGAGATGCACCATGCAGACAGCAGAATATGGCACAGTCACTAAAATAGGAGTTATTCTCTGTCCGTTGCATTTATCTTACAGGTCAAGTACAATTCCACCGAGTATGTTTCTCTTTCTGTATAATGAAGGACTGTGATGGTGCTTTATCACTTGAACATCCTCATCCCCAACATTAGCTCAGATATAATGAGGGTTACTCAGAGGACAGGGGCCCTCTCTACAGAATGATAAAAGACCAGAGACTGCATCAGTGACACTGCATCGGTCATTAGCCTGGCTTACTGTGCCCTTTCAAATATTTCTAAATAAGTGCCTTCCTGCTGGTTTAACAGACCACCTAATCTGCCTATTTAGGGGTGCAGGGGGAGAGTGGGAATCCAGAGAGGTGAGTGTCAGGCAGGTAAATGTGCTTATCAGAGCTGTAACATGTTTAGCTTCTCTGGTGGAAATGCTGCCACAGGCTTTCAAACCTGGTAGGTTTCATCGGCAATAGAAAAATATGGCGGATTAGTGTTTCTGTGATGCATCAAGTGCAGAAAAGAGGCTGTCAATAATGTTAAAGTTTTAAATCCCCGCGGTAACCTCCCCTTTAATGGCGAACACTGTATTTAAGAATTTGCCCGGCACTGGCCAGCCTGATCAATACTTGTAAATATACAATTTTCTCCAAAAAAAATCAGAGAAGTAACTTATCTTATCTCTGCCTGGAGCTGATGCATTGCTGACAAATCATCAGTTGATTTGAAGACAAGCGGGATATTTGACAGTAAAAGGGACTTGATGCTAAAACAGTTCTGGAAAGATGGACTCTCTGATCCCAGAAGGTTATAGAAATATCACAGCAAGAGATCAGAACTACTACAGGAGAGTTTAAAATAAAGCAGAATAAGGTCACTTCTGAGAGAAAGAGACAAGTAAGTCCTTACAGGAATACTGCAGGAATTTGTTAGGTAAATCTTACTTGTTCTATTTGGATCTCAAAGCCTTAGAGAGTGGAACACAAACATTCAGCTGTAGAGAGCATGCAGTCCAAATAGACGCCAGTAGTACTCCCTTCCTTTTACATAAAGAAGAGACGTTCTCTTATCCTTTCACAGGAAAACTATTTTCACAGTGATGTATGGTCAGTCTCTGCCCAGTGATGTAGTCAACTCTGTTTTCACACTGTGAAATGAGTTTCACTGACCTGGTCACCCCCAGGAGGGGGTTCATCCCACCACCGGTTCATCTTGTGGGTGACGTGACCAAATTTCTGCCATGTAAGATAAGCCTGCAAGGCTAATAAAAACGTTGATAGTATATCACTGTCACATTCAAAAAAAAAAAAAAACCAGGCTGCTGGCACTCTTTTCTAGAAGGCAGAGGAATAATCAATGCTAAGTGAGTAAATGTTCGGCTATTGGAACAAACTGGAGCACAGAATGCCTAAAGGGAACAAGAAATAACAACCATAACATTTCACCTGACCAGTTAAAGCCATGGTAGCTGTACAGTGTCCATACATTATGTAGTGTGAGCAGCGCCATTACCTCTACCATCCAGTGGAGGGCAGTATGCAACACCAAGTCCTCTGGTAGGCGCCAGTCCCCTATTAAAAGTTTGGAAAATTTAATAAATGGCATGTAGGAGGCTAATGGTTGAAGTGCATATCACCACAGCATCCACAGTTTGACCCCACACCAGCGGGCCCTGGTTGGAGGCTATATCCCTCTCTCTCTCCCCATCTACCTCCACATTGACTGTTGAATAAGTGCCAAAAGAAGGGAATGAGGCATTTCAGACACAAAATGACATCCTGTACTTACAAAGAAAAAAAAGCATTTATTTGGCAACAGTCACGTTGCAGCGAGATAGAAGTAGGAAATAAAAGAAAAGGAGAGGACATGTTACAAAGAATGGTTTAGGCAGTGATAGAAACACCTTGTTCACTAGCACTTGATTGAATAAACAGCTGTGAAGTTGGCACCCTCACCAAAGCGTCTCTCACACAGACACATAAAGGTCATAGGGTTTTCTGGTAACTGCACATATGCTCAGTATTAATTAACATACATTCTCTTGATCTACAAACATAGCTTGATTTTTGTAATTTATTGGCACAAATTCTTTAAAAGTTTCCAGCGTGACTCCACTCAGCATGGAGTCCACTTCCTAGGTACAGGCAATGTAGTGCATGTTATTCAAAAGAACATCAGAGCTGTTATGGCACCGTGAACCAGAAGCATGGTGGCCTCCTGGATTGTCAACATCTGTCTCGCAGCACAGAGCCATCAAAGTCTCACTGTCATGTAGATCGAGATTTGATCTGCACTGAGAACAGTGGAAAAGGCCTGATTACACAAACATGGCATAGCGCCATGAAGATACACAGATTTACTCGTTCCTCTTTGTCACTGCTCATTTAACATCTACATGAGGCTTTGTGAGGTCAAACTATAAAAGCCCTCACCAGAAATGTTCTGTGATTCACAGTCAAAGATTTGACTGTGCAACAGTCCTGAAAAACTGCAAAGCATCTCATGATTGACTTGTGTTAATTATATATGGCCTGATAATGGAACAAAATAGGCCTGCCAGGCTACATGCCCTCTGATTGCACTGTAGGATTTTTCTGCAGTCAGAAAATGACAAATTACCAGATGAACTGAAAAATGACACCGTAAAAGCAACCTTATTTTACACTTTCAGTCTCGACAGGCATTCCACACATGCTCTGACATCGTAAAAAACGTCAGTCTGGAGAGAAGACTCAATGAACAACATCTTCAAAAGACAAAGTGTTATCATCAATGAGTACAAATATGACAGAGCAGCAGCATTAGAGTTCCTTATAAACTGATAATTATAGACTCAAGGGGTCTATAGTAAAACAAAACAAAATTTAGAGCACTGTTTACTTGACAATGACTCGCAAATTCTGGTGTAAACCACACAGAAGCAAAGTCAAAGGCAGTATAATCTCTGAGTTAAATAGAGGGAGAAGCTCTTGAGTAGCAGAGTTAGTGTCAGTTTGGCCATTGGCTTACTATGAGCCATCAGTCACTGCAGTCCACTCACAGTCACAACAGCGGTCATCTTCCAATGAAACAGCTACTCGGATTTCATCAATTAAAAATGACAAAAAGTGGTTGAGGTTGTTCAAAACACTAAATTATAACCAGTTATTTAAAAAGATCAAATTTCATTTGAGTGACAATGGCAAGGACGCTCTGCTTTGATCCCTAATTTCGCGCTTGGATTGTGGGTTGTCAAGTCCGTGAAAAGTTCAAAGTAAACAGCATCTCTCCTTGAAGCTCTTCTTGTTTTTCTTGTTCTTTCCTTTTCCATTTTTGTCTTTGTTTTCTGACATTTTCTTGCCTCGAACTTCACGCATCAGGTCAAAGAATACCTGGAGTTAAAAAGGGCGTAAATCTGTTAGGCACTTAATTTTTTGAACAGTCATGAATAAATCTGATATAGGAATGATAAAATGAAGGTCCTGAGTTTGAAAATATATCCATTTATAGTAGGAGTGTGGCGAGACCTGTGTGTGTGTGTCTCATGATATGGGTATATAACAGAACCAGAGCAGCAGCCAGCATGACGGAGTGTGAGGGTGAAATTAGCATAGAAGATGCCCCCGCTCCCTTTATTATGTTCAATCTGTAGAAAGGAGTTCAGTTAGGAGGTCAAACACAGCTCAGTTTTAACAAATGCTAGAACAACAGACTGAGTCATGAATCAGACCTGTCTTTTATAAAAGGCTCCGTGTGCCCCATAAACAGCACGACCTCACTGTGCTACTTTTATTTTTGAACACACAATCATTTACAAGTGGCCAAAGCGCATCAATCCACCCAGACCCCTCAGTCATGGTGCTCTGCGCCCAACTAACTGGTCCCGCCCCATAACAGTAACTCTAGAACAACACAACTCCTAACCCCTCAGCCCACCACAAGATCAACCCTGACTGCCCCATGTATTTGTCATTTGCTCCGTGCCCCACTGTGTTTCTCTCACACACACACACACACAAACACATGGCAGCCATGATGACAGACTGACTGAACAGATCCAACTCTTCCAATATGTTATTAGCAAGCTAGTAAGTTTTCCAGTCATATATTTAATCATTAAAATATTGTCTCGCCTCGTTCTAGTGAACTCAGTATGGCGTATCATCTCGTAAGCTAAGTGTATCGTCACACCCCTAATTCATAGTCATGTATACTACAACTATGTCAGTCATCTTCAATAGGCCACTGAGTATATTGTGTGTGTG